GCTGACTTAACTTTCCAATACAGGTTTTTAAACAAAGAAGTGATATCACCTGGGTCCAGGTTACAGCCAATCATCAAGCAAAGCAAGAGGGAGCTAAGGAGGAAGGCTGTTTACTGGCTTGCTATCGAGATCATGCTCACTTAGCTTTTGAAAAAAAAATGAGATTAACTTATTTGCATGAGGGTTCTGCCTGCATGCATGTATGTATACCACGTGAATGCCCAGTACCTCGGGAATCAAAAGAAACTATTGGATTTTAGGAACTAGAGTGACATATGATTGTGGACCACCATGTGGATGCTGGGAACGAGACCCGGGACCTATGAAAGAACAAGTGCTCTTACCTGCTGAGCGATCTCTTCAGCTCTGTTAGCTTTCTTATCAGCCATGGACCACCTTCCCAAGGAAGAGACTATCACATATCAAAATTAGGCCCCAGAGATAATAATACCCAGGTGCCACTCATTAGTTGAGGTCCCTGCTTCTGGGTGAATCTAGGTTGTGTTGAGTTGAGAAAGACAAACTAGCACATGCAACAAAAACATTTCAAAAATCAGCGTCAAGGAGACACAATGTTACTAAAAAGCAAAGGTAAATTCAAAAGAAAGTCATAGAAACAAATGTCAAATGACATTCGGAAGGTCTGAAGTGTCTATCTCTTGGGGATTATTACATTCTTGAACTTGACTCTGAATTCCACCTGTCCCATTTAACCATCTCTTTACTTTCTAGAGAGTTCCCAGAAAGATACGAACCACAGGACACAACCAGAGTCTCTGTCCGTGAATGTGTCACCTTCTGAATGCTCAGGTGACTGTGTATGACTTGTGCTAGGTCTTCCCATGAAAACACTGTGAAATGTACAGATGTTCTGTGCGGAATCCCAAGGGACTATGTGAGGTCTCTGGAAGTCTGCATCACCTCCATGTGTCACGAGAGGTCTCTGAGTATGATTGTCCTTCTGAAGGTGCTGTGTAAAGATCTGGAAGGCAGAGGGGTGTCACTGTGAGGGAGTGCTGTGTGCTACCCTGAGGCCACCAAGTGACATCTCTACTTAGGTCTCTGGGAAGTTTCTGAGGTCTCCCTTACTGTCTTTATCAAAAGTATCTTTGAAAACTCTATGTGGACTCTGAAGTTTGTTCCTTTTGTATGTTGTAAGATGTACCAACCATCAGAAGTCTCTTTGGCGGTCATTGTCATGGCTTCATTATTGATCTTTGTGGGGGTATTTCTGTGGAATTCAAAAACTCTGTGGTGACATCTCTCTGAGTGGGTCTTAGTAGAGGTCTGCCTTGGGCTTCTGTGTGCATGTCTGTGGAGGGCTGAGAGGGTTTCTGCTGGAGTGTGCTGGAGCAGACCCCATGTCCATGCCCTTGATGACACCTTCTAGAAGCACATTTTCTACCAGGGAATAAGTGACGCTGCTGGAGCTGTTTCCTGTTGCCTTCTGTGAGGAACAGTGCAGGCCACCCTGGGAATAGGCTGCTCTTGTATGCAGTTGCATGCAGTTATGCCCATGTGTTTTCTAAGATACAGAGACTGGGGCAAAGAAAAATGGAAAGGTAGCTGAGCAATGCTCAGGAAGGGACCCTTTTTTGCCGGTCTAGTGCCGCATTTTAGACAAGTCCCTTCTGCTGTGTGAACCAGCACTATGAGATGGCCTGTTCTGCTGGTCTCATGGGAAGGCAAAGGCTGGAGGCCTAGAATGCCTTGCTGTGTGAGCAGAGTATCCTCTCAACCATTTCCAGGTCCTCTCTTTTCCCTTGAGAGTAATGCTAGCACAACGTGCATGTGAAGGCCACCAGGCTGTGTGGGACATTCAGAATTCCTAACTTCTGGCCTTTCCGCCAGCTCATCTCTAGATCTCAGAAGAACATGCAGATTGCTGGATGTGCTTTTGGGAAGCTACCCTCTATTTGCAAAAAGTCAGGGGTTTATCAGCCAGGACACAAAGCTGAGGGGCAGTCGTGAGCAGATGATTCATGGCCCGACAAGTGGCTGAAAGAAAGGGCCTCATGACCTCTGTTGGATTTATTCCAGAGGAGAAACTGGGGTTCCACCATAGGTGTGAAAGCAAACTTACACAAAGAAACACCCAAAGCTCCATCCAGCAAGTCAGTATGTCTACCACCACAGAATTACTAGGGTAAAATCTAAGAAGAATCACGAAAACACTGTGTTAGCGAAGCCAACCCTATGGTACACAGCCAACATTCCACAGACAACTGGGTGCCCCATGATCATCCTATGTGCAGAGAACCTGTGTTCTGAGCTGTCCTGTATCATCACACGGTACAGGCACCATGTATCACAGAGATCCCTATGCACTGTCCAAGGCACTGCCTCTGCAGAAATGTACTATCTGGAAAAGCAAGCGCTTTACCCGATTTAAATTAAATAAACACAACTATCCGGGAGAAAAATATGACTTTTGAGTCCACACCATAGAGCCTCGTGGGCAGAGCCTGATACAGTGATGGGGTTCTGGAATCTTGGACAGGCAACACAAAGGAATCTGGGCCTAGACAATAATGTCTATGAGCCACAGGAGTGAGAGTTTGGCTTAGGAGAAATGTACAAAGAGGAGTAAGTTCGAGAGATCAATGTGGCATCTAATCCACCAAGTAGCAAGGATACCACGGAGCTGGAGCAGGCAGAGAAGGAGGAGTCCTGTGACTGGGAACTCCCTGTGGAAGCTGTGGAGACCGGTAACTCTCAAATCAATGAATCACTGGAGACAAAAGAAGTCTATAAAATTCTAGAATTATTTCCCAGGATCCAGAAGACTCGGAACTGAGCACCTCTCACTGCTCAGCCGCTGAAGTTGTCCTGCAATATTGTGCCAAAGCAAAGTCCCTTCAAGATAAAGGGCTCCTCCAGTCCATGGTAAAGAGACTGGGCTGAGGTTAGGTGTGTGGCTCCGACCCCCATGTCAACTGTCTGCACTGGAAGGGCAAGGGATTCACATGCATGAAACTATTAGGGCATCCTCACGTTACGTGGCCACCTGCCTTGGCTCTAAACTTTGTATTTTCTACCTCCTCCTTAGCCTCATCATGCCCATGGTCAGATGAGCACTGTATATACAGGAGGTATTGCAAATGACCAGGGGTCTCTGCAGCTACCACCCTCATGAAAGTTGTCTGTTTCATGCTGGCCACCATTCTGGCATTGTAGGCAGACATAGGACAGGGTGACACTGCTTTGTCATCCAGGCTGAGCTGGAAGGGCCTGGGGAACTCAGGTGGTTGCCAGTCTCCAATGAGTTGAGTAGGAGGTCCCTAGGGTCTCTAGGTTCTTTATGCCTCTGCAGGATATTCAGACGTGACCATTTGCCTGCTTTGAAGTCAAGGATGCCGCACTACTGTCCAGATGACTGGGCCTACTTTGTGACTTGGGTAGACACTGGGCTGGCTCTCTGATGCCTGTGTACACAGCTACACAAGGATAAGTTTAGAACATATCAGGAGAAAATCATGGCGACAATAAAAAGCCTTTTATTCTGTCCCCAAACTTCTTTCCATGGTTTTTTGATGCGGAGGATTCTAGAAGCCTTGTCCCTATAACCTATAGGTCCTGTCTGTGGCTTCCATACTCAGCTTTCTCATTATTTGGACCAAAAGATATGGCTATGCCATGCTTCCTAGGGATCTGAAATCTTGGGGACATTCCCTCTACTTGACAGAAAGGGATTCCTGTCCTGGGAGGGTGACTTGTTTGGAGCAGGCACAGTCTTGAAGCTGAACTGAGAACCCTAGAGGCCAGGATATCTGCAGCCATCAGAACCAAAGGACCCACTCCTGAAAGAACTTTCCCTAATTGGAGCTGAGTGGTGCTGTAGTTTTGGGAGAGAGGATGGATCATGGGCCTGGGTTTGGATTCCAGCCACTGCTGGTGATCTGAACCAGAACTGATTCTGAGTCAATTGTTTGGGATTGACAATTGATGAATCAAGGAATTCTTAGAAAGAGCTGTGGAGCTATGATAGTCTCCACTTGGTTAGGGTGTCATAGATCGTCTGTTGAATTAGATGGAGAGGTGATCTAGTGGGGACCCTGCCATGTGGACAGTAACCACAGGGGACTCATTGTGGAGAAAGAGAGGCCCCAGAATAAAGGGCTTGATTTCTGCTGTAAATTGTCTGGTAAAACCTTCTGGTAAAAGAACTTCCAAGAACTTGAAAACTGCTCTCATTTGTAGTTTCTGCTCCAAACGGAGCGTGAGGTGGTGCTGGCCTGCTTCCGGCTCCACTGCTGTAGGATAAGGTCCATACAGCTAAAGGCACAATCAGACCTTTCTTTTTATTTCTAATTCCAAACTTTCAGTTGAACCCTACTCCTAACCTGAACTTCCAGCATTTCCTGGATGTCAGAGTTGATAAGAGGGTTCCCCAGCCTCCATCTGCCTGAATGTGGGGTCTGTCCATAGCGAAGCCTCTTGGAAGCTGACGGAAAGATCCTCTTGCTAGGACTCACCATGTGAGGAGTTGGGGTGGCACCAGGTTTTGGCAGCTACCTGGTACCTGGAAATTTTACCTGAGGCAGGCCTCCTTGTGTGGTCTAGGCCTGGAGGGATTGAGGTGGGCCTCCTTGAGTGGTTAAGACCTGGGGTGGTTGAGGAAGGCCTCCTTGAGTGGTCAAGGCCTGGGTTGGTCTGGATGGGAGCTGACCCTTAGAGTAGGGTCTTACGTGGTTCACTTATCATGCTCCCCAGTACTAAGGACTTCTTGTTTGTGCCTTGCAGGGCTGATTTTGAGTCCTCCACTACACACACACACACACACACACACACTGACACACCCAAATCCTCAAACCTTTTGTTTTCCTAATTACAGTATAATTGACTCTAACTACAGTGATGGAACTTGGAGACGGTTCTGTTCCCCCTTTGTGGAGCCATATCCTCTCCTGAAATAGTACGCTAAGGTGGACCAGATGCAGACATCTCTTTGTGGCCTAGCAAGCAGATACAACCTCAAGATAAAACATACCCAGAGGAAATAATGTCTAAGATTTTAATTTGGGGAAAGGCTTCTTTATAGATCATACTTTAATGCAATGTCCATGACGTGGACAGTACACTGGTGTCCCTGGGACATGTGCAACATGGGCTCTTTGCTGATGAGAGCTGGTTCGGAAGATAGGGTCTCTGGATACCCGGGCCTGCTTGATGCCATTGGGCATGCCTTTGTCAGGGGAAGGTTGACTCTGAATCTTGAGGTTTGCATGGCAAACTCTGCTGTTTCTTTGGTTTCCTTGGCTATGGGTCATCGATGGTACACCCTTGTAGTTTTGCTTGGAGTTGTCTGTTACGTTATATTTGCAGTTGAAAATTAATAGTAAACATTTCTTTATTTGATGGTTTTCATTATTTGATGGGTGGGCTTGGTCAGGCTTTGTCCATTTAAGTGGTCTGTCCTGCCTGGGAGGACTTCTGTATTTATCATTTTGACTATTGGTGATAATGTGTTGGTTATACTGTGGATCCTGTGACTTGTAATTCTTGAGGACGTTTTTGTCTCTTTGTTAGAAAGGGGACCTGTAATTGCAGTGTGACTTGGCCGTGGTGGGCTCAGTCTTGGGTCTGTACCGGCAGGTCCTGGAAGCCAGGATCTCTGCAGCAATCACTACCTCGGGGTCCCAGTTTTGGCATAACTCGCCTGTAGCACAATCCTGCAAGATTACACCAGCAGCTGAGCAGTGAGGTGTATTCAGGCCCAAGTCGTCTGCATCCTGGGGAAAGGTTTTAGATAGATTTCCACTTGCCCCCAGAAATTGATTGGTTTGAAAATCAGCGATCTTCGCAGCTTCCACGGGGAGTGTCCACTCATGAGATTCTTCTTCCTCTGTCTCCTCCAGCTTCCTGGTACCCCTGCTCCTTGAGGACTGAGAAACCCCTGTGATCTCCCTAACAGAGACCTCGTTGTCGTTATGGCTTAAAGTCCCACCCTCACTCTTCTGGACTCGGCCTGGATTGGGCTCTGGGTATTCTGCCCAAGACCTGACAAGTGTATCCCTATGCCAGGCTCTGCCCATGAGGCTCTCTGGGGTGGAAACCGAAGTGACATTGTAGCCCCGGGCAGTTGTAGGGGCCTCAGGGGGCACAGAGTTGTAACTAGGTGGAGCCTCTCTGAGGAGTGCTGGCTGGAGGGCAGGACAGTTCTGTATGGACTGACATTCCACAGAGGAAGCTGTCTTCATGTCTCTTTCTGGGGCTTGCTGGATGGGTTCTCCCAGGTCACCGGCCAGTTGGGTCATAGAGTCTTCTGTAGAGTCCCAGGACAGAGAGTCATTGGAGGACTGCGGAAACGGTGAAGTGGTATCCTTCCTCATGTTTAAAGTATGTGTGTCACTTGTTTGGCATCTCATGTGGCACGTTTCCCTCTCTGTCTCAGACAAGGCCTCGAGAACTCTGCCCAGGGAACCCTCTGGGGGCAGATCTTTTCCCAGAGCTCTTCCTAGAATGTTTGGAAGATCCTTGTGTGGGGTCCGCCATGGTTGTAACATCTCTGGACCCTTTAATGAGACACTGTGTGGACACTCTCTGCTTTCATTTTTCTGTGCAGAGGGACCTAGAGTCCTGTGATTAACTTCTGCCTGACCCAGGCCAAGAGATAGCTGGACTTTGGGGGGCCTCTGACCCTGGTGTAGTGAGAGTCTCTTTTTACAATCTTCTTCCGTCTGCTCCCGTAGCTCGGGGATAATGTAATTCCCCTGGAGATGGACAACAGGCCCCTGGCCCTGCGAGCCCCAACTGTTGAACCTCTGTTGATTAAATACTTCCTGTGGATGGCCTTTAGTCTTAACGTGTAATGGGCTGTAAGTAGAGAGTCCATTAAACAAGATGGAGGGGGAATCTAGTGGGGACATTGTCATGATGACAGGAGTCACTAGGGACTCACTGTGGAGCCAGGGGAGACCCCAGTAAAGTTGGACACATTTCTCTTTTAAATCGTTATCTAAGTCCTTCTGGTGACCTGACAGCTGGTCTGATTTGCTGTCTTTGTTCCAGAAGGAGCGTGAGGTGATGTTGGCCCCCTTGCTGCTGCAGGAATGTGGCATACTGCCCGGAGAGCCGGAGGAAAGGTCTGATCTCCCCTTTCCTTTCTCTTGCCAATATTTTAGTTGGACTCTTTTACTGAGTTGAATTTCCTGCATCTCATGTATAACTGGGCTGATGAAAGAGGGCTCCCTAGCCTCTATCTGGCTGTCTGTGGGGCCTGTCGAGAACGAGGCCTTGTGGATGGTAAGAGAAAGATCCTCTTGCAAGGACTCGTCAGTTGAGGAGGTTGAGTGGCACAAGGTACTGGAAGTTATCTGGTGCTTGATAGGGCCTGAGGTAGGCCTACTTGAGTGTTCAATGCCTGGGTTGGTCGAAGTAGGCTTGCTGAAGGTATCAAGGCCTGAGGTGGTTGAAGTAGGCCTACTTGAGAAATCAAGGCCTGGGGTGGTGGAGGTAGGCCTGCTTAAGTGTTCAAGGTCTAGACTGGTTGAAGTAGACCTGCTAGAATAGTTAAGGCCTGGGGTGGTCGAGGTGGGCCTCCTTGAGTGGTTAATGCCTGGGGTGGTTGGTATGGGAGAAGGCAAACATGGCAGAGTTTGTGAGCTCTGTAAGGTCCCCAGTATTTTCGAATTAAACTCACGAACTGCCATGTTGGGATATGGCAAGGATGGAGGACAAGCCACAGGATTCTGAGGATGAAATGGGTAGGAAGGTGCCTGTTGGGTTGGTGAATGGCATCTTCCAGTTGTCAAGGTCTCTGGTGGCCAAGAAACTCTCTCAGATAACTGTGACTCAATCAGTGAGGAAGTCATCAGGACAGGAGACAAGGGTTTAGAATCTTTGAGCAACAGGTGTTCGTTGCTAGGAGCAGAGGAAGTCTCTAGGGATGAATGGGTTTCCACAGACTTCCCTGTGGTCTTCCTAGGTGGCAGGTGGGCTTTGGCATCATCTCGTTTGAATGCTTCACCTGAGGCATCTTGTCTTAAATGTTTGCAAGTGTCGCCAAGCCTCTCCTGTATGCTGCAAGAGGCAGGAGATATGATTGCAGTCAGGAGTTCATGGGGCCAGGAGGTGGAGCAAGATGAATAGGGAGGGACCCTCGCAGCCCATCACAACCACCGTTCCACTCTTTGCTCTTTACGAGACCTTGTTATCTTAACCTCCAGGGCTGTATTCATATCCCACCCATCCAGGGAGCCCTTATTCCCAGGATAACCTTATGCCCTGGTCACGGGTGATCACATAGCAGGCAATAGGAGTGAGTCAGAGAGAACTGGGGATGGCTCACCTGTGCAGAAGTGAACCCAGTACCTTGTCCTCCTTAGGTTTCTTCCCGCTGACTCTGTAAGCTGGAAATGGAGACTGGGTTATTGGTGGCTATAGGAAGGACTGGGTATCTTACCAGAGACTGGATGAACTGTCCTTCCATAGAAATCTACAGTTAAACAGGAGCTCTGATATCCATGAGCAAGGCCATGTGCCCAAACACATGGAGAGCAAGGCACATGGGCAGGACAATGACCTGCATAGGCGTCATTATCTCCCTGTGGAAGGGAAGGAAGGACCAGGGCTCTGAGAGAGAAAATTGTCTCAGAGAAGAGGCAAGCTACCAATTTACCTCCAAATCCAGGCAGCATGGCCCCACTTCCTCCCATGGCCCCACCTCCTCCCACACCATCCCTCCCCAGAGAGTACCCAGTCCTGGCGGTACAGAGCTTCATTCTGAGCACAGGACTGGGAAATGGCTTCAATTCTGGGTTCCTTTCCTGGAGCTGCCTCCTTGAGGGTCCTGAAACTCATTAGTGTTATAGTGGGACTGGGGCCTGAAGTCACCTCACCAGGGGAAGGAAGTAGCCTACCTTTCACAGTCCTGGTTTTCTTCCTAACCTTTCTGTGCTCCCTCCTCACCACCTGAGAGAGAGAGAGCGAGAGAGAGAGGGAGAGAGAGAGAGAGAGAGAGAGAGAGAGAGAGCAGCTGCAGTTCCATTCACATATTGATAATGTGGGCAAATACGTGTTCTTTTTCTCTTGGAAAACTCAAATGGGGACCGTCTCTGTGAGAGCCACATGGGACCAGAGGCTCAGCTCTGAAGTCCCAGCAGTTGGTTCCTAATGTCCTGGAGGTCACTGCCCCCTTCATATCAGCTCAGTCAACCCTATAAGCATATATGTTAGAGGGGAACATAGAAACCATCGCTCAGAACCTTTCCTTTCTCAGAGGTCCCTAACCAACCCAGGAACACCGTCCCTGACCACCAAGGCACAGGACTTCTCCCAGGTATGGATGGTCTGAGAGCAGACATCTTGGAGTCCACTCTTCCTTTCCCCTACCTGCCAGGTCTCAAGAGGATAGGGTCCGGCTCTTGGCTGAGATCCCCTGTCACCACCTCCCTATTAATTGGAAAGTGAAACCTGGAGAGAGGGAACTAGTCTTCCTTGGTTTGGGCCCAAGGCAAACTTACCTTTTGCGGGGTGGTGTTTTCTGCAGGTGGAGGTGAGGGTGAATAAGGGGGGAGGAGGGGCGATAATAGGCGGAAGAGCCCCAGCCCACACACAAAGGCAAAGATCATGTCCATTGCCCGAGTGGTGGAGCTGGGGGTCAGCCATGAAGGATCAATGCTTTCCAGAAGAGAGAGAAAATTCTCCATCTGAATCGCACTGTTGCTCTCAGGCAACTGAACTCTGAGAGTTCTCTCTGGGAGTTGTCAGCTGGGTCAGGTCCACATCACAGAGCTCCTGTCTCCCTGTCACAAAGGGCTCCTGAGTGTGGGGGAGGGGTGCTAGGAAGAGCTGTCCAAACACTCCCTGTCCTCCAGGCTTCACATGGGCTCCATCCTCCACAGCCTTTTGTGTCTGTTTCTAATTCCATTGCACACTCCATCAGAAATAGAGTCTTATCCATTTTCTCTTCCTCTCCTATGCCCAGACAGAGGCTTGTCCACATTCTGTGGGCTTTTGAGACCTCCATGCCACCTCTAGTGACATGCCTCCTTCAAAAGGTCCCTCCTCCTAATCCCTTCCAAAAGTTCTACCAACTGAAGACCAAGCACTCAAATATATGAGCCTTTGGGGGTTTATTCCACCCTCAACAGTCCATTCTCTGGCCCTCCATAGGCTTGTAGCAATATCATAAAGCAAAATTCACGTAGTCAAAGTTCAAAAGTCCCCATAGTCTTTTACAGTCTCAACACTATTTCAAAATCCAAAATCTCTTCTGAGACTCAAGTCAATCTCTTAACTGTAACCTAATATACAAATAAAACTCAAATTTCCCATTTAAACATACAATGTCACAGAAAACATATTTCCATTCCTAAAGAAAAAAAAAGGAAGTTGTGAGGAAAGGCTGGACCAAAGCAAGACCAAAACCCAGCAGCGCAAACTCCAGACTCTACATACATGGTATCAAAGGGCTCTTCAGCTCTCCAGTCCTCTCAGCTTAGTTGACTGCAACACACTTCCTTCTCTTGGGCTGTGTCCACTCCCTGTTGGCACTCTCCTTGGCAGGAATCTACGGGTCTTACATCTCCAACATCTTGGTGTCACCAATGAATTCTATGCTTCACCTTCAAAGTGTCATGTAATGGGCTTTCTAGGCCTCCATGCAGGGCCGCCACTGACATATGCCTGTCCTCAGCAGCTTTCCTTAAGCCCAGAGGATGATTCCACAATGTCTTTTCTCTATTTTCCTTATTGACTCTAACTCCAGAACCACATGAACAAAGTTGCCACATTCTGCTGTCTGCTTAGGATAAAACCTGGAACCTGGATCCTTCTTGAGTAGTATTGGCATAAGCTTTGATTTGTTGTTTATCTTTAAAGACAAGTCAATCCTTAAGGCTTTTTCTGCTCACAGATTGCAGGATTGTCAGGCTGGGGTCTTGTCCTGTGGGGACCCTTCCCTGTACTCTATTCCTCTTTATCTCTTCAGCACTAAGCAAGGCTCCAACATTACATTTCTTATGCTCTTTGTCTCTTCAAACTGTACATGCTGGAGAGTGTGGGAGTAGGGGGTGGAAGGATTCCTTCATATTATTGAACTCAGAGAGCAGAATTAACATAATAAAAATGGCAATCTTATCAAATACAATCTACAGATTCAACACAATGCCCATCAAAATCTCAGCAAAATTCTTCACAGACCTCAAAAGAACAGTACTCAACTTCATATGGAAAAGCAAAAACTCAAGATAGCCAAAACAATCCTGTACAATAAAAGAATTTCTGGATGCATCACAATTTCTGACTTCAAACTTCACTACAGAGCTACAATACTGAAAACAGCCTGGCATTGGCATAAGAACAGACAGGAAGACAAATGGGACTGAATCAAATGTCTCTTGACCAAAGAATGGATAAGAAAAATGTGGTACATTTACACAATGGAGTACTACACAGCAAAAAAAAAATAATGACATCTTAAATTTTGTAGGAAAATGGATGGAGCTAGAAAACATTATTTTGAGTGAGGTAACCCAGACACAGAAAGACAATTATCACATGTACTCACTCAAAGGTGTTTTTAAACATAAAGCAAAGAAAACCAGCCCACAAACCACAATCCCAGAAAACTTAGACAACAATGAGGACACTAAGAGAGGCTTACATAGATCTAATTAATCTATATGGGAAGTAGAACGTATAAAAAGACAAAATCTCCTGAGTAAATTGGGAGTAAATGGGGACATTGGGGGAGGGTTGAAGAGGGAAGGGGAGGCAGGGAGGAGAGCAGAGAAGATGTAGAGCTCAATAAAAATCAATTTAAAAAAGAAATGGACAAAAATAACTAAAATAACCTAAAAAAAAGTTAAAAACCATGGACAAGTGGCCAACAAGCAATGTGTTCTACCTAGACCCCATCAGCCTTACTTGTGATGACTATATACATTTCAGTTATAGTTTTTTATGGTAGTAAAGAATTTGTCCTATACTTGTGTTTTTCACTGAAATTGATAACTTCTGACAAAGGGCCTTTATGAATGTTTTCCCCTTAAAAGTCAACATATATTTATCATTGGTATTCATGTTTTTCAAATGACCCAAACTTTGATGAAATGGGACATAGGGGAAAACAGCTATAGGAACATATCTGAAAAGTTCCATTAATAACAATGCTGCCTTTTCAATATTTTCTTATTTTTATGTCTCCACATTTAACTATAAATAAAATTATTAATAGTCTATGGTAAAAAAAAAAGTCAATTGCTCATTATATGCCATAGGGTAAGTTTTACATAACATTAAAAGCACAGTTGTTTTTGAAGGAAAGTTGAAGAAAGACAGTTGATTATTGAGGTCTAGGAAGAAAAAATATGGATATTTATATCGTGTGTTACATACATGTGTTGCAGTTATAGAATCCAGTTAATTCTCAAGAGACAAGATCTGAGAAATCATGGCTACCAGTTAAAGGGATGCAACTTGACAGTAGACTGCTTGCCTAGTATGCTTGTGGCCCTGGGTTCAGCCCACAACACTAAAAAAAATATCAGATTCTTCAAATGACTTGTAAAAATATAAATATTAGCGATGTTTTACCGGTGGCACACATTCATGCATAAATGCTGTGCAAACTCATCCCTCATTTGCTCTCGTGGTTACACTGAACTTGTAAACCATTGTCCTAGTTAGAAATTATTGAAATAGGTAGATAAATAAAAATATTTGTACTGGTGATCAGAGAAACTGTATGTGCTTTCAGATACAAAAAGCAAAACAGGTATATATTACATACAAATAAATATAATTGAAGTGCTGTGGACTGTTCACCATGTTATTATCACCATATCACTTGCTGTATGTAAGTTCAGTAAGCGAAATGAAGGTTGACTGCCAAGAAGCCAGTGATGTTAACACAAGTACAGACTCTTGGAATCACAGTAGCATGCTTGCACTGAATTATGTAATAAGAAATAGGAAATTTGTATTCAAAATGGGTTTTGAATGCTCAGTTATAAATTTGAATAAACCCAGCCATCATGAATCTGCTAAATTCACTATGAATCACAACAAATGGGGGCATCGGTGCCCTCCTTTACTTTAATAGTGAAAGACATGACTCAAATGGTTTATTTGATAATAATTGAAAACCTTGATATCAGGCAAATTTATTTTCTGTCTGGAGACTTTTTCACAGAACAAATGCAATATATTTTCAAACCCATCATCCAGAGGTGATTTTCGTTCATCAATGTAGAATGTGTTTTTCTCCTTAACATTGCTTTTCTTCTAGTAAGAAAAAATGAGGCTAAGCAAACCTCCTTTAGAAGTAAAAGGCACAAATCTGTACATTCCAGGTTTTGTGATAACGTGAAAATGTGATATTTTATGTGGTTTCTTTTTGAAGAGGAATAGCTATTTCTATATTGCTTCCTTATTAAGATCTATGCAACAACAGAAGGTCACACGTATACCAGATATTGAAGATTCCACCAGTTGGCAAGGAAAGTGGTTCATTAAAAGTAAACCAGGTATTTGGACAATTTTTCAGCCAAGAGAAAATAGAGTCTTTTTAGGTGAGTCATCTAGAGAGTGAGAGCTATATGTCATTTACACCTCTTCCTTGTACACCAAAGGAGCAATGCTCTGAGTCATCACGAATGCACACACACACACATGCACTAATGAATGCATGTACACACACATACATACACAAAAAAGAAAAAGAAATAAGGAAGGAAGGATGGAAGAAAGAAAGAAAGGAAGGAAGGAAGGAAGGAAGGAAAGAAGAAAGAAAGAAAAAAAGAAAGAAAGAAAGAAAGAAAGAAAGAAAGAAAGAAAGAAAGGGAACCTGATGTATGCAAACTTTTGTGAGGATAAGCAAAATCCTAGAAACAAAAGAGTGCAGTTGCATTATTCATGGTACTTACAGATTCAGTTTTTTTGCCTTTTTTTCCTGCAACCACCTCACAAGTAAAGTTTTACAAATTGTACTGCTAGAGATGGGTGGATAAGATTCATACATGTTAAATAATAAGCTTCCAGGATAGACAATTCAGGATTTCTAAAACCAGGTTTCCAAAGTGGAGTTCTAGATCAAAGGATGATGTTTTTCATCAATTATACCCTCAGTCAATAAGGTTAATTTGCCAGGAAAAGACCATGGTCCTGTAAAGGGCTTGATACTATAAAACAAGACACAATTACTTCAGTAAAAACTAAACAGAGTGTGTATTGTTAAAGGGTTTCCTAAATGTGCTACATATGAATCACTAAGGCTTAAAAATCAGTATCAAGTTTTAATCAGATAATATTACACAAACCACACTTACTCTTTTATATTTTGAATTTAATTGTCCTTAGATCCTAACATCAAGACACTTGTGATATATTTAAACACAATATTTATTCACACATTTATCTTTTTATATATATATATATATATATATATATATATATATATATATATATATGTAGAGAGTGTGAGTGTATGAGCAAGAGAATGAAAGAAATGAGGTCCTAAAGGCTGTCAATGATACAGTAGATTTTTTTCTTTTTTTATTTGTTTGTTTATAAAAATTTCCACTTCCTCCCCTCCTCCCCATACCCTCCCATTCCCCCCACTCTCTCTCCTCCCCCCCCCACTCCCTCTGCTCCTCCCTCTCCAGTCCAAAGAGCAGTCAGGGTTTCCTGCCCTGTTGGAATTTCAAGTTCCTCCCCCCTCCCTCCAGGCCTAGGAAGGTGAGCATCCAAACAGACTAGGA